CCGGGATTCTGACCGCCCCACCGGCCTTCCGGCCCACTGTGCGGTGCGCTTGCAGCAATCACTCTCGGGGGCCGACGGGCCACCTTCGTGGGGTACCCGACAGTCCCCCTGCTGTGTGGGAAACAGCGGAACAACACCGGTGGCCCTGTCGTCCACCGCGACACGCTGCCGGAGGGGCCGAAGCCAAACACAAGCGGGGACAATACACACGCGTGCTTTGTCTTGGGCTTTTTTTTTTCGGTCCGGTTTTTGTCTCCCCAGGGAAGGGCCTATTGTTGCGTGCACTGCGTACCGTAACGCCATTCACGCTTGCCCGCCATTCACCTAGACGGCCAGTCAGCTGGGCCGCGTGGGCCGGAGAGGGTGCGATGGGGCGGGGTGGGGCGGGGCGGGGCGGGGCGGGGCGGCCTCCCCCACTGCCCGCAGTGCCGCGGGCCGCGCCGCCTCGCCGCAGTCGCGTGGCGGCCCCCGATGCGACAGCACGCCCGCGCCCCGCACGCCAGGCTTCGCCAGGCCGGCAGTCCCCGCCGCGATCACCGAGACGACGCCGTCGTGGACGCGGCGCCGCGCCGAGCCGCGCGTCAGCCTCACGTACTCCGCGCGCGCGCGTGTGTGTGTGTGTTGTGTGTGAGTGTGTTGGCGGTGTGATGGTGCTGGCGGGTGCCCCGCTCGCCGTGCCCAACGTGTAGACGGCGGGGAGTGGATCGGACACGGCGGCGCCCGCGGGGAGGCCGCAGCAGCACACGTGGTAAAACCAGCACACGTTCGCCAAATTTTACTCACTAAAACAAAAATCCCCCACAAAAAAAAAAACACGAAAAAAAAAAAAACAACTTAAAAGTATTATTGTTTGCGGCTGAAGGTTCTTTTTCCAGTGCTTTACTTATCTCGCTTCCCGCGGGGCCCCGCGCCCCGCACCGCGAGGCGTGGCGGACTAGACCCACATTCCGGCGCCACTCGTTCCACTCGTTCCACGCGGCCGCACTTGCATGGCGCCGCCTTTCGCGCTGAGTGCCGCGGCGAGAGAGAGAGAGAGAGAGAGAGAGAGAGAGAGAGAGAGAGAGAGAGAGAGAGAGAGAGAGAGAGAGAGAGAGAGAGAGAGAGAGAGACAGAGAGACAGAGAGAGAGAGACAGAGAGCGCTCTGTTTGGCGAGTGCATTGTGGCTAAAGAAGGTTGCGCGACGCGGGCGACAAACAGAGGCAGGGCGGCCAAAGTTTGCGCGGACCAAATAAATATGTCAAAGCCGTGGCCTCCGTCAAAGATTTATGTGCGACCTGCTCTGTAACTCTCTCTCTCTCTCTCGCACTCATGGGGTGTGTCGTTGGGGAGCGAGAGGGACAGAGCAGCCTCCTGACTCTCTGCGTGGACCCAGCCGGACACACCATAATCCGGACAAAGAAGTTTGATGAGCCGTCCGTGCGCGAGTCGAGCCGTCGAGCCACCTGCCTGCCTGCCTGCCTGCCAGCAGCCAGCCCGAGCAGCCAGCCAGCCCAGACCCGCGCCCGCAGACTCTAGCGGCGGCGGGAAAATTAAATTTTGCAAACTTGGCGCGGTGGTGCGGCGGATGGGGCGCGTGGGGGTTTTGGTTTCGGCCCATCGGTGCGAAGGGTGGCCTCACTCCATTTGGCGGGGCCGCGTGGGCGGTGCTTGTGTGTGTGTGTGCGCGCGCGTGTGTGTGTGTGTGTGCGTGTGCGTGCGTGCCTGTGTGCGTGTGAACGCCTCTGTCGATCTCATTTTGGGCTCAAACACACCCAGGGGCCGCTTGGTGTTGCCAGGCCCCCTATGCTTCGCCAGGCTCGCTTGGCACCTCTGGGCCGCATTAGCATCGCACAGGCCGGGCAGGCCTGGCTGAGGCTCTCTCTCTCGCACTCGCACGGCACGCCCCGGGAATGCGAGAGAGAGAGAGAGAGAGAGGGAGGCCTCGCCTGCCCGGAGTCAGTGTGCAGGCGCCAGGAGTGTTTACCCTGCCCCGGCCCGGTCCAGCATGACATTGGGACGCTCCAGCCGCCCCTGCTGCCGCACCTCACCGCGCCAAAAGAGTGGGTTGCCAACCGTTCGGCGCGGAGAGCTAGGGTGGTCACCCGTCCACGCCGAGCGGGCCGATGACACGAGCAAGGCCTCCGCGGCGGCGACGCGTGTGTTGTGTGGAGGTGAGGCGCGGGCTGGGCGCCCTACGCTATGCAGGGCCGTGCTGTCCATTTGAATTTCATGAGTGCGGTGGCGCCGCTTCGCTGCTTCCCCGCTTGCGGGTCAAGTTCGCCTCAGATGAGCTCCTGCGTGCGACGAAAAACGCCCCGCGGTGGCGTAGTGGTTCCCCACTCCCGGCAGGGGCGGATCCAGGGGAGGGGTGATGGGGAACCACCCGCTCCATGGGAACTAAATAGGGCGCCTGGAAGGCAGGCAACACGCCTGACTTCCACTGTAGGTGGGCGAAAAAGCACCGTTTACCTCCCCCTTCGGAAAGTCCTGGATCCGCCTGCTACTCGGCCGTGCCGCCGGAAGTCGGCGTCGTCTACACTGTGCGGGGCGGGGCGGGGCGCTGGGGGTGGATAGCAAGAAGATATTGCTTTCGTTCTTTTGTTTGCACGGGGTTCAGGCCGTTGAGGCCGTTCAGGGCGGCCGGCCGGGCTGGCGTGCTGGCGCTGGCACGCGCACACCCGACCCGGCCCGCCCGCCTGTTTCGCAAAGGTCCGCCCTGCCGCGCGTTTGATGAAAATCGGTTTGTAAACATTTGCGTTCGTTATCAGTGGCCGGGCCGGCTGGCGTGGCGGAAGCGCACCCCGTCTAATAGACTTTCCTTGGTGGCGTGCGGGGCGCTGCGGGCGGCGGGGGCGGGGCGTCACCGAGCCGGTGGAGGTTTGCTCTTTCGAGGCGAAAATCCCTTCGGCGAGGTGCAGTCCGTTGCCAGCGCCCTCGGCTCCAAATGGAATCGAAATTCAGCCTACGCGCGCGGCGCGGCGCGGCCAGCGGGGCAGGGGGCGCGGGGGCCCTCGGTAGGGGGGCTGCCGGGCGTCGCGACGACCCTGGCCGGAAATGTGCGCCTTTTTTCTCCGGTGGGTTTCCTTTCCCTGCCCCTCTGGCGCAGCCGGACTGCGCGAGTGCTCCGACACGGCCGACACGGGCACGGCACGGCACGGCACGGCCCCAAGAGCACCTGTGCCTTGCCTCAGCTTGCCCCGGGAGGGTGCCCGCCGCGCGGCCCGTGCGGGGGTGGGGAAGCGATTTGGGTCAGAAAGGATCCGTCGTCTCAAAACAGGGGGCTGGGGGCGGGTAGGGGGCGGGTAGGGGGCATGAGGCGGCACGGAGATGTATTGTAGTAGGAACAGTATTGGAACCACGACGGATAAATAAAAAAAAAGGGAGAAAGAGAGACAGGAATAGAACGAGCGACATGTTGGCCTGGCCTCTTTCAGGTAAAGCACACGTCACAGGCCGCACGTAAAGCGACACGCGAAAAAAAAAGAAAATAGGAGGCAGGGCGCACAGACAGGTAGAAAGAGAGAGGCCCGGATTAGGCAGACTAAAAGGCAGGGCGTGAAACAAAAAATAAACAAAATAGAGGGGCTCACCAAAAAAACGGGCTTACCGCGCCCTGGGCAAGTTGTTGGCTGGCGTGTTGGGAGCCACACCAACGCCGTGCCGGGCGGTGCCGGGTCGCACGGTTGACGCCAAGCCCTCCAGTCCATTGCTAAAGTCTTTATTTTAGACTGCAAGCTGTTGATTAATCTGCTCGATCAATTGAAGCCGGATCCCCAAGTCGATCCCGCCCGACAGTGTGCTGCAGTGCCCTGCCCACCGCGTCAGGAGGGTGCGCCGTGCTCCACCCGCCGGGAAAAATGCGCGCCCTTTTTATACGGCTAAGCGGTTCGGTTCGATCCGCGCGATCCTTTTAACGGTGAGGTGAATCAAGCGAGGGGCTTGCGGTGCACCCTTCGACGGCCTTGCAGGCCTTGCACGTAGGGACGGCACGCCCGGCGCGGTGGGTCTGGTCGTGCCGCCGGGCCGTCCGTCGGGCCGTCGTGGTGGGTTCAGTGGCTGCCGATGGGGCGTTTTGCCGATAACCACCAATTTCTTCCAGCCGACGGGCAGCTCAGCCGACCAAAGCCAACAGCGGCCATGCTACATTGTCTCTCTCTCTCTCTCTCTCTCTCTCTCTCTCTCTCTCTCTCTCTCTCTCTCTCTCTCGCACGGAGAGGACGCGGGGTGGGGCAGGGCTCGGTGCCAAGCCGGCGGGGCGGCGGAGGAGGCACGGCGGAGGGATGAGGGATGCAGGGATCGATGTTGGAAGCCGAGCCCCCAGCGCGGTAAATCGTGCAAATGATTTCTTAAACCGTGGCCCGGCGAGGCCGCGGCCCGGGGTCAGGGGTCACCTTGAGCCTAGAGTATCTACTGGGTTCGCCGGTTTTATTTAGGCCCTAGGAGATGAGGCGTACCCGGGCTGAGGGCCGGGGGTACTGCGCGGCCGACACGTCCGAACGGTTTGCGGTGGCGTGACCTCGGCAGCCAATCAAGGGTCACGCCAAAACGCGCACGCCGCGCACGCCGCACACCCGCAGCGGCCTCGCCCGTGGCACACACTGCAAACCGCTCCAAAAACGCGAACCGGGTGCCGAGTGGCGACTCAGACGCCGGAATAACTAGAGGCTGGGCTAGTGTTGAACTGTTGGACGTAAAGTTAAGGTGCTCGGAAGTACACTGTTTTACTAATACGGTCTTTTCTGTGCGCAGGTCGCGCCATGTGACTCGCCATGCTGGAGGGTATGAGCGTCGGCACGCCCAGCGTCGCGCCCAGCCCCTTCTCGGTGACGCCCGCCATCCCGCTGGGCGCCCTGGGCCCCCTGGGCGCGCACGGCACCCTCGGCACCGTCGGCACCGCCGGGCCGCTGCTGGACGGCCTGGGCCCCGGCCTGGGCCACGGCCTGGGCCACGGCCTGGGCCACGGCCTCGACGGCCTCAATGGCAGCCGCACCACCGCCACGCTGCCCACCCTGCTGCCCACCCTGCTGCTGCTGCTGCCCACCACGCTGCAGCCCGCCGACGATGACCCCCACCAAAACACGACCCCCGTGGCGGCGGCCGAGCGGCAGGCGGTGTTCCCGCTGGTCTGCAAGGCCCTCATCATGGGCACCATCATCGTGGGCGCCGTGCTCGGCAACGCGCTCGTCATCATCTCGGTGTTCCGGCACCGCAAGCTGCGCGTCATCACCAACTACTACGTCGTGTCGCTCGCCATGGCGGACCTGCTGGTGGCGCTGTGCGCCATGACGTTCAACGCCAGCGTGGAGCTGACGGGCGGCGTGTGGCTGTTCGGCTACTTCATGTGCGACGTGTGGAACTCGCTGGACGTGTACTTCTCGACGGCGTCCATCCTGCACCTGTGCTGCATCTCGGTGGACCGCTACTACGCCATCGTGCGCCCGCTGCAGTACCCCATCACCATGACGCACCGCACCGTCAGCTTCATGCTGGCCAACGTGTGGATCCTGCCGGGGCTCATCAGCTTCGTGCCCATCTTCGCCGGCTGGTACACCACGGACCGGCACGAACAGTTCCGCGACCAGCACCCCGAGGTGTGCATCTTCGTGGTGAACCGCTACTACGCCATCATCTCGTCGTGCGTGTCGTTCTGGGTGCCGGGCGTCGTCATGGTCACCATGTACTACCGCATCTTCAAGGAGGCGGTGCGGCAGCGCAAGGCGCTGTCGCGGACCTCCTCCAACATCATCCTCAACTCGATCCACCGGACGCACACGCGCCACCCGTGCCACTACTCGCACCACCTGCACCCCAGCGACGGCGAGCTGAGCCTGGCGCAGGTGTCGGCCACCACGTCGCTGGACGGCAGCCACGGCAGCCACGGCAGCGGGCCCAGCTCCAGGAACTCGTCGGCCGGCTCCACCACGTACGGCACCACCAACATCACCACCGCCATCACGGCCAAGGCGGCCGCCATGGAACTCAACGTTAATGGTGAGCCTCAACACATTTCACTCCGTTTCACTCGGCACGGCGCCCTCTGCGACGGAGTGCAGGAAAGACCCCGTGGCGGTCCGCGCGCCCTGGACTGGAGTGGGGTGGGTAAGTGGGCCCCGCGCCGTGGGGTGGGGCGGGGCGGGGCGGGGCGGGGCGGGGCGGGGCGCAGACGCCAAACACGCGGCCACCGATCGCGGCCTCCATGTTTGACGGCCAGCCCCGTCCCACTACCCCGTTTTGCACAATTACCGCGCGCGCGGGCCGGGCTGCCACCAGCAGACTGATTCCGAGAGTCGCCCTCTGTCTCTCTCTCGCACCCGTTACGCGACGCCCGATGAGTGCGACCCTCGGAGTCGGTCTGCTGCCCGGCAGGCCGGCAGTGCCCCGGCGTCGCACAGTGGGCCAGAAGACCGGTGGAGGCGGTCGAAACTCAAGACGCGTTTTGAGCTCCAGATTCGCTGAATGGGACTCGAGCCGAACGTGTGACCCCACCAATGGATTGCTCTCCGAACGAGGAATCCATTGGTGGGGTCACACGCTCAGTTCGAGTCCCTTTTAGCGACTCTTGAGCTCAAAACGCGTCTAGAGTTTTGGCCACCTCCACCTGTCTTCTGGCCCACTGTGCGTCGCGTGGAGACGGCGAGACGGCATGCCGGGGGATGGCCGCGGAGCGCGGATGGCCCACAGGTCGATGGTATCGCTTATTGCTTATTGATACACGCTCTCGCCGTGGCTGGCCGTGGCCCCGTGCCGGCAGCCCAGCCACGCGACAGCCTTGGCCTGCCTGGCCTGCCTTGGCCTAGGTCGCCCAGGAGGCCGGCCATGCGTCTCGGTCGCCATGGCGACGGCGGCGACGGCCACGGAGACCTTGCACCGCTGCAGCTGCCCGCCGTCGCCGTCGCCCCGCCGGTCGTCGCGACGCGCCGCGCTCTTTTTTTTGGCGGTCCCCTTTTTCTCTTCCTCTGTATGTCTCTGTCGATAAATTTAATATCGCCCTTTGTCATGCTGGGCCCTGCAGTGTCATTCCGAAGTCGCGCTGTCTCTCTCCCACAGCGCTCCGTCAGTGTGGGAGAGAGACAGAGCGACCGTTCGGAACCACCCTGCCGCAGCACGTGCGGTGCGCGCGTGGCGGGGCCTGGCGGGGCACAGAGACACCCGGAGGGCCGTGGGCGGTCTGTGGAAGTGTGTTCCAGGCGGTTCCAGTCGTCCTCTCGGTTCATATCAGTAAGCACCGCCTCGTTCTCGGGTCCGCTCGCGGAGCGGGCCGGAGCTTCGGATTGGTTGTTCCCTGCCAATACGTGCTCGCTCCCGGTGATGCACGCCGCCGTCCCGGCGGTCACACCACCCACGTGGGATGGTCCCCGTGTAGTCATGAGACTAGGGGTAATGGACTCGCAACGGAGCTGGCCGGAATCTCTGCTTTGCTAATTGTAGTTCACTATTTCTCCGACTAAATATGAGAGTTTTGAGATGGCTCGGGCATTTTTGGAAAGAAGACATCTTAAAGTATGCCCTAAATTCAAAAAAGTTTCAATTTTCCCACCAGGGCTCGAACAGGAACAGCTCAACCGTTGCGCTACTCAAATGCGCAGGGCGACGGGCATGGTGCCAGGGGCGACGCAGGGGGGGCGCCTCTTCAACTTGCGATAGAAGCTTCCGGATGCCGCAAAAGTGATGGGACAAGTGGTGCACCTTGATATATGTCGAACACAAACTATGTCCCATCACTTTTGCGGCATCGGGAAGTTTCTATCGCAAGTTGAAGATGCGTCCCCCCTGCGTCGCCCCTGGCACCATGCCCGTCGCCCTGCGCATTTGAGTAGCGCAACGGTTGAGCTGTTCCTGTTCGAGCCCTGGTGGGAAAATTGAAACTTTTTTGAATTTAGGGCATACTTTAAGATGTCTTCTTTCCAAAAATGCCCGAGCCATCTCAAAACTCTCATATTTAGTCGGAGAAATAGTGAACTACAATTAGCAAAGCAGAGATTCCGGCCAGCTCCGTTGCGAGTCCATTACCCCTAGTCTCATGGTGTAGTCCGACGCGGAAACCCGTTGTCAACAAAAGAGCCTCGTGGAAGCAAACCAGGCTTCGTAGAAATCAACATGGACCTTTTTCGCGGCTTGTTTGGTTGTTGAATCGACGCGGCCTTGCTTCGCCTCGCACTGTCCGCGGAGTCCGATCATTTGATTTCGTCCCGCGGACGGCGTTCCGCCCGTTTGCATACCGCTCCGCACTTGTCCGTACTTCGCAATGCAGCAGCACGGCTGGCCCTGCTGGCCGTGCTGGCCAGCCATTCTGGTAATGAACGCACCACAAATCCCGGCGCGCTGCGGCAAGTTGGCGTCCACGCGAAAACTACCGCCGCAGTGCCGGCGGCCCGGTGGCCGCGGAGGCCGCGCTCCGTCCGCCCCACAGTGGGCCAGAAGACCGGTGGAGGCGGCCGAAACTCTAGACGCGTTTTGAGCTACAGAGCCGCTAAACAGGACTCGAACCGAGCGTGTGACCCCACCAATGGATTCCTCGTTCGGAAAGCAATCCATCGGAGGGGCCACACATTCGATTCGAGTCCCATTTAGCGACTCTGGAGCTCAAAACGCGTCCGGAATTTTTGACCCCCCCACCGGTCTTCTGGCCCCCTCCTGGATCCGCGCCTGGAGAACCGCTTGCGAAAAGAAGGGCGGGCGACGGCGCGGACCCCCGCGGCGCCGAGCCCGAAGGCCAAGGCCGCCCGGCGGCGGCCGGCATAGTGATGGCGCGGCCGAATCGCGCCGAGGAGGAGAAGGAGGACGAGAAGAAGAAGTCGTAACTTTGCGCGGCAGTCGCTGCTCTGACAATGCGGCGCGATGCGGGGGCGAGTTTAGGCGCCCGGCCCCCGGCGGTCCCCGGCGTCGCGATGCGTGGCGAAGGCCACGGCCAGCACACTGATTCCGAGAGTCGTATTCGTCGCTGCGTCTCTCTCGCACTCGCGCGGGGCGTCCCTTCAGGTTAGAGAGAGGCAGCGCGACGAAAAGGTCCCTCGGAATCAGTCTGCGGGAGGAGGGGCGGGGCGCCGGGATTGGGAGTGTGTGGCAGTTATTTTCTGTTGCCGAGGGCGTCGGTAGGGTATCCCCCTTCCCCCTTTTCGCAGCCAGGACGTCATGCTGACTTTATTTTGCAGCGAGTCACGCCAACTTGCGAATTGAATCGACTCACCAGCCAATTAACTCGTCGTCGACTCGAGAGGCGGTGGAGGGGGTGGGCCTGCCTAATGGGCCGGGGGTGATGGCTTCCAGACCGCCGGCCCGGCGCACCTACACTGGAACCTTCCCTAAACCCGGCGGCTCGGCGGGTAAAAATGAAGTGCAAGGCGGTGGCGGCCGCCGCGATCCGTCCCGGGAAGTGGGGATGCGGGCGCATCGACCGGGCCAATCTGGTGATGCCAGTGTCGCGGTCTCTCTCGCACCCTTACGGCACGCCCCGTGAGTGCGACGGAGACAGCGCGAGTCCGCCCGCCGGCCTGCCGCAGCGGTGGACGAGGAGCTAATCCTTTTATGGCGTCCAGAAATAATGGGGTACGCGCTCGGCCCGGCCGAAGCGGACTGATTCATGAGTGCGAGAGAGACAGAGCGTCGAAAGCGGAATCGGGCTGCGGCTTTTGGTCGGGCAGAGGGCTCTTTTTCTCAACTCGAACCAAAACACGTTTGGCACCACGGAGCCCGTATCGACGCAGCAATGCGTGCGATGCGAGGTGTGCGATTCGGGGGATGGAGCATGGCAACGTGTCCAGTGCAGTCATGCAGTGTGCCGTCGACGCTGGAATGCGCGTTGGCTTCGCTTGGTTTGGTTTGGACCCAGGTTCGGGGAGGCACGGCCTGCGATGGGGCCCTCTGGCACGACTCTCGGACGGCAGCCCTCGTCGCACACACATTCAGACGCACGACGCACTGCGCTCAATTTTGATGAATATTCATCAGGACAGCAAGTTTTCATTTCCCAGCGACGGCCGCGTCCAGTGGAGAGGAATTTTACAGCTGCGGAGCTCTCGTCGTCGCATTGGGTCCGCGTAAAGTTGGCGACGAAAGCCACCTGAAAGTCAAAAGTCCACCCACACGTAGCTGAGTTGTTAATCCCCCGAGCCGCTCGGCGTGAGGGGGTTGGGGCGGGGCGCGCGTCCGTAATGGGCGGCTTGCGGTGGCTGGCCGATGACTCCCTCCCATAGGGCGGGGCGGGGCGGGGCGGGGTGGGGCGGGGCGGGGCGGGGCGGGGTGAGCTGCCAGGCGGGGCGAGGTCGCGCGCTCTGCCTGGCCCCGGCCTGGCGCTGCCTCCCTGGCCAAATCGCAGTTTGATCGCCAGATTTGGCCTTGGAGGGACCGGCGCGCCAAGGCCTAGCCAAGGCCAATGCCTCTTGCCTGCCAACAGACACACTGGCGATACAAACCGTTTGGCTGGGCTGCTGAGGCGGCTGCCTGCCAGCCCTGACTGCCCGCCAGGCTGGCTGCCAGCTCGGACTGGCCGCGCCTCGTAATTCAGCGCATCAACGCAATCGGTTACGACTGCGTGGAAGGCCCGGAGGGCAGGCCGGGCAGGCGGCCCATCGCCAGCGGGACGTCCCGCCGATCCATCTCGCCCTCTCTCTCTCTCTCTCTCTCTCTCTCTCTCTCTCTCTCTCTCTCTCTCTCTCTCTCTCTCTCTCTCTCTCTCTCTCTCTCTCACGCGGGGGACACCCCTCGGGTGCGACAGAGAGAGAGAGCGCGAGGCCGCCCTGCCCTTGACCTTGGCCCTGGCACGGCACGGCCGGCACGGGGTTTATCGAGTGATAAGGCGTCCACGATGACGGCATTGTGCTGGCGGGGCGGGGCGGGCCATCGAAGGGAGTCATGTCGAAGAGCCCGTTAACGGTGCAGGGCGTGGCAGGGCGCGGCACGGCGAGGCACGGCCCTGCGAGAAAAGGGCTGATATTTTAATGAAGTCCTTCGGGCGGCGCCGCGCGCGCGATGGAGGGTGGCGGGGACAAGGA